GAAAACCCTCTCATACGCAACGAATTATTATTCAAAACGGAAACCACCGTATTTAGCCGGTAAAGGTAGCCTCTGAGAAAATCGTGTGATAATAACAAGTAAATACACAGTGCCATACAAATATGTTTAAGCGTTTTCACATAAAGAAAAACTGGTTAAAATTAAAGTCGGTGTTTAAAGAAATAACTTGAAAAATATCGATGGGTGACACAAAGGATAGTGTTTTTGTTTTTCTACCAACTATATTGATCCCATTCGTCGAATGAAAAAACAAAAATACATTTGCATAATGTTTCTTAACGGCCTGCCGGATTCATCAGTACTAATCATCTCTGAGCTGCCTATACGCGTTGATCGTTTTACGAAGGTCGGTGTGACAAGTACAGTAAACTCGGAGTTGATAATAAGTTACTAATTACAATATAAACTAGGTGAAATTTTCTTTGTAATATAGTTAGTAAAATTTTCTGCCCTAGATAGGACTGAGTCCGACTACTATCTGACTTCGCTGCTAATGACAACAACTGAAATCCAATCACATCGTTTTTTTTATTTCCTTATAAATTAATAGCAATTTAGTAAAATAAAAACACACCCATTATCGCATTGAGAAACGGAAAACCCAGTGAGAAAACATCTTTGATAGATGAAAATAATCGGTAATTGTTGAATAGCTAATAATAAATATTTTGCAAACTTGAAAAATAATTCGTACGCTCAGGGTATTTGAAACTGAAAACTTTCATTTTTGTTTAATCGTCATAATACATAAATGAGCAAAATTAGTACATACATTATCTGAAACATATTCAAAGTATACATTATCATGTGATATAACTCAGCATTTCAGAATAAATAATTTGAAACACAAAACGAATTCTTTCCGTGCAATTAGTAGCTTGAACCGCATATGGCCTATTCTGAGCCGGGTGGGAATGATCCCTCGTCTACTATTCAGAAACTCTCAGGGTCTGCTTGGTATTTAAAAATTTCTCTGTCGATCCAGCTCACCGACGTTGTTATTTTCTTTTCATCTTTTTATTAGTGAATGTATTTTTCACCTAAAAATCATATTTTTTACTATTTTTATTGTTCTTTTAATGGGAAAGGGTTTTATTTTAAACTCCTGATAGAATATCATGCTTGACATGGCATGCCTAACGAACTTCAACTTTGCTTTCAAACAACACTGATTATATTACGGCTGATGCTCATTATGCATTAACATTTAATAATTTTGTATTATTACTAAGAGTTCCTAATAATATATATATAATTATGAACCTACGGAATTCGCATTACTAAGTTGCTACTAAACAAGTTTCATGAGCGGTTCGTAAGTACTCCCCCCAATATTAGAAAAATTGATAAACTTGAAATTTGAAATTTATGGAGAAATGTTAAGAACCAGGAAAGCTGAGAAGATTATAGGAAAAGACTCTATTCCGCTTAGTACAACCAAAGGATGTCCGCAGGGTGGGGTTATCATCACTCTGATGTTGATAAACAGCTTGAGAAGCTGGATCTCAAAGGAATAAAATGTGAAGGCTATACGGACGATATAGTCCTGACTGCAAGAAGAAAAATCGAAGAAATACTGTGACATCATCCAAGAAGTCTAAAACTCGCAGATGAATAGTGTAAAACGTCTAGGCTAGGGATTAACCCTAATAAAAATAAACAACTTGCTTTTACAAGAAGAAGAAAAATAGATCACATGAGACAAAGATTCAACAACATTGAGATAGAAATGAAAAACTTAGCCAAATATCTAGGAGTTACAATAGACAAAGCACTGGCATTCAAGAAACATATTGGCACCACTATGAAGAATGCCACACGTGCTTTAATGATGTGCAGAAGGATAGCAAGAAAAAACTGGAAATATAGTCCAGAACTGCTCTGGAGGTACACCATGATGGTGTGCCCTATCCTCACTACGGTGTGATAGCCTGGCGAATAAAGTCATACAGATAACAAAACAATGTACGTTCACTTTGAAAAAACAGTCTTGCCCTCCACTATACATCAACAATGAAGAGATACCGACTTCCACTCAAGTCAAATACCTAGGACTATACCTTGACAGCAGACTGACGTGGAATCCCCACACAAGACTTAAAAGACAACAACTCAACAGAAGACTTGGACAATTACGCAGACTACTAGGACCAAAATCCGGGTTAACCATCAGCACTAAACTGACCTTATACAAGACTTTACTGCGACCACTTTGGACATACGGTGTGGAACTGTGGGGTTCCGCCAAACCATCCAATATCCAGCGTATCCAGTCCTTCCAATCAAAAGTCCTCAGACAAATCGTCAAAGCTCCTTTTTACGTCTCTAACCTCACTATCCACAAAGACCTCAACGTTCCTTTTGTCCACGAACTGATCCATTTCCGATTCCAAAAATTTCATACCAACCTATCGATCCATCCTAACCCTATCGCTAAAGCCCTCTTCACATATTCCCATCCCGAGAATCCACCACGTCGCCTAAAACGACGATGGCCCCGAGACCTCCTTGCCCCTTAATCTATTAAAATGAGTGCCAGCACTGGCTGGCTTCTCATGGCATGTGTCCTCCGGGTGCAGCGCTGGCATCAGTGTTAGTGCTGTGACCGAGCGGTAAACAATATACATTGAGATCACATTTGTATTATGTACAAGTATGTATAGGCTACAAATAAATAAAAAAAAATTAAAAAAAAAAAAACAGATAACAAAACAGAATGAACTCACAAAAATACAGAGACTCTCATGTAACAGAGCGTTGTATGGAGAAAATTGGTCCCAATATCCCACCGCTATATAATAACGTGATCAGCATATACCATCAGATACATCACATACATCACTAAACAGAAACCTTCAACAGGATTAAAAAATAGAGAACTAATAACAACCCAGGGGACCGCGGTAGCCGAGTGGTTAGCATGAGAGACTCTTACGCCGCGGTCGTGGGTTCGATTCCCACCGTCGACCCTGGCCCTTTTTTCCCGATAACCCCCAATTTGAACAAGAATTCGTACTATGGCTAATATGCAAGATCATAAGGCCAATAAAAAAAATAAATAAATAAAAAAAAATAATAATAATAACAACCTAACCTCAACCACCCCAATACTCATGGCCCCCAGAGACGACATGAACATAATTTTTGAATTCAAGCAAAATGTCCAGGTACCGAAAATGAGTGGAAAAAAATTGATAGATCTGTTGGGTTGTTGAGAACGGCACTATATGCTGGTACATTGATAGATCTGGATAGAAAGAAGGTTCGGGGGCTGGATTGGTCGGCCATGGCACCAATACTCAAAACCCATGGGAAATCGTACCAGTATTGTCGAGGATGAAGTCCACAAAGAGTACAAAACAGGCATAATTATCATATCAGATAAACAGGCACGAAGCCACAAGATAAATTCAAACATTATTATCTTAAGGATGGTGCTAAATTGCAAAACTAAATTAAATCAATTAGGTACGCAAAATTATTCCCTGCTGAGTTCCAGGATATGTAGAAATAGAGGAGCGGATACCCTTGGAAGGAGGCTTTAAAGGTCGATTTATATTAGAACGTGACAGGCATCTTACGGGACGTGTGGAGAACGAGTCCCGTAAGGCGTTTGTATTTACATTACACCGGGCTGCTTACTCAATTTTTCATCAGTTTTACTAGCGTTCACATCGGGAAGTGCTTTTTGCATGTGCGCGCGATAATAACATGAACTTTAACACTGTTAAATTAGCAGCTATTGCTGTAGCTTTTGATGAGGAAGAAGGCGAAAAGACGAGAAGATGGGATGTACATCCAGCTTGGAAGAAAAGGGGATCAGAAGGTGAATTCGTTACCCCCTACAAGGAGTTGAACTATGACGAGGAAAAGTTTTTATGGCTACTTTAGAATGACTCGTCAATGTTTTTCACTTCTGTTACGTGTTGAGTACTGACGGGGGTGGAGTTCATACTATACGGGACGGGGAAAGAATCGTAGGCTGCGGGCTGGCTCCGGGGACCCCGTACGGGGTTTACCGCCGTGACCGCCCTGTGACGCCCTAATGTGAACTCTCCTACTTGAAAACAATGAGATAATAAGTTGACGTGCCCAAGACAGCCGTCCCGTTCCCTGCACGTTCTAATATAAATCTGCTTTTATGCCGCTAACAGATCTGACCATTTCTGCTCCATTGGTTTCCACACTATTTATAAGTAACATAGATAAACGTAGGAAACGGAGGAAAAAGAGGAAACGGTGAAATTGACTCATCGGACATAGAAAATCCAAGAATCTCGTAGCGAGTTCCGAAAGGAAAAATCAACAGAATATAAAAAAAGTAAAGTAATGCCTGTCATACAGCCATACAGGACGGCTTAACGGCCAACCACCCGTTGAGTGTCGCAAACAAGGGATCAAACCACTTTACCATACTTCTTTCATACTATTCTCTCTTAATAAGCCATGGGCGTTAACAAATTTGGGATTCGAACCCAGGACCTCTAGCGTGACAAATACGAGTCGGACGCTCTAACCTCCCGGCCACCGCGGCCCTTAGAACAGAATGATCAAAGCAAACAGGAAAAAACTTCGAGTCCTAACAGGGCTCTGTAGACTCAATGGACTTTTGAGAAAGATTGGTATGACCAATACGGTACGTGCAGATTCTGCAAAGAAGCAGAGGAGACAGTAATAAGCGCTACACTTATCCTCTGGAGGAAATGCTTTGGGATGTGCAGCATAACTGTAGAAGAAATTCAACCGTTGAAACTTTGCCTAGTAATCAAATTTCTTGATGAAGTAGGACTCACTAGTGGTAGGTACAAAACGGGGGATACAATAGCTGTCAAATGGCGCAGAAAACCCGCCCTATTATATCTTCACCTACAATAAACTTATTTATCAAATTACGATGTAGAAATTTTTATAGAATTAATATATCAACAATCGGTAAATTTGGGATAAGGATGGGTTGAAAATTATTTCATAAGTCGCACCTGGTGGAGGTTTCAGGACCATCATAGGGGAGATCGAGCGGCATTTCCGAGCTGATCCTGGCCAAAGAACGGACGAGCCGCCTCTTTGAAGGCACTCGGGACAACTCGGTGGGTCCTGGGGCGAGGGAGTCCTTGGCAGGTTCCAGGATCAACGGCTTGTCATCGACGAGGACTGTGACCGACTCCTTTTCCCGTCGGGGCTCGGTGATTTTATCTGCCAAAAGAAAAATTGAATAATAATAATTATTATCATTGTTCGCACAGAAGTTATTAACCTTACGACTGTTTAAACAGGTTGAAAATGATAATAAGTTTTTTCTTTAAACAAACCAACATAAACAATAATCAGGAGTGCAGCGATTTTGGTTTTATTATTATTTTATTAGCATGAATCAATGCAAAATTTGTGGTTGACATTTATGAATTCAGCCAAAACACACCTCTTTTTGTATATCTTATTAAGTATAATTCTATGAATTAATACATATTATAAATTTTAAATTCATAAATATAATGTACTGGGTTGAAAACATTCCGTAAATAAATCTATATCAATTTATGTTGACGATAAAATAATTGAAATCGGAAATGTACCTTTGAAAGATAACAAGGATTAAGATTATATCGAGATTACCGTTCGTTGAGATGCCGATGGGCGACTCATTGCCGGGGCTTATCTCGGTCGGCGTCTGGAATGAGAGCGAGGTGTCGGAAGACGAGTTCCTGTTGGGAGAGTTGGGAGTGACATCCGCCCCCGTCTTAAAAGGCGTTTCCGGTGAAAGGGGCGTCACCGGCATTTTGAGCGAGAGGTCTCCCTCTTGGTCCGAGGCGAAAGAAATGTTCACCAACTGGGTCAGAGTGTCTTGTAAGGTCGTGAACGTCGGCGAGGCTATGCGGACTTCCGAGCCCAGTCCTGAATCCTGTACCTTCGGCGCGGTCGAAGAACTGGAGGACACCTTCGAACATGATTGTTAATCTATTCCTTAATTGATCTATATATTTATTTAGTAGTCATATTTGACCTATTAATTATTTTAATTAATTATACTTTTAATCTAAGGTCTTGGTTGAGAAGAAAAAGCAAGCGGGGGAAAAAGCACGACCTTTGTCTTTGACTTCTTGTCACGATAGCTTAAGTGGTTGGAGCAGCGGCGTATTGAGCCGTACGTCGTGGGTTCAAATCCCACTCGTGACACTTGCTTTTTCATCTCAACCTTGGACCTTAGATTAAAAGTACAATTAATTTTTTACAAATTATTCCTTAATCTTAACCTTACCGCATTCCTAACTTTGGACTTCACTTAGCGTAACGTTAACTCTCGCGGCCAACCGTAACCCGAAGAAGTACGTTTTAATTTTATCCATGTGTCCAAATAGTCTAGCTAACTTAAAATTGTGAAGTTCGGACATTACTAAAATTTACTGATTCAAGAATGGATGAATTAATGACTTTGAACAATTTCATGAATCACCATGGTATTTTCTTTACCGCAATTGCTTCCTAACCATGAAATCTGTGATTTTATTTTAATTTTTGTCAGATAACAAGAAAACAGTACAAAGTATTATGATAAATTTGTTTAAAAAATATGTGATTCTATCATAAGATCAATCATTTCAATAAGTGCACTTTGAACGTTCTGACACATATTCTATTTCATATATTATGTATTAACTAGTGGATAGTTAACTTGGTTGGTGGTAAATTGTTGGTGGTTAGTAACTTGTGACTCAAACGAAATCTACCTGAAGGGGTCTTCGTGTGCTTCTGGATGTGGTCGGGTCACTCAGTTGCCTCATAACGTGCGCCGAAGACGAAGATGTCGGCAGCAAGTACGACTCGAAAGAGTGCGCCTGCTGCTCCGGGAACTTCGGTAACAGCCTCGAACCAGGAGGCGAATCTTCCAGCACACATTCCTCTTCTGGTAAAACTGACAGTTTTCTGCATGACCTACAAGTTAGTTGATATGTCACTGTTTAGTCATGGTCAATGATTCATTTAATGGTTATAGGCTATAATGACCCCAATGATTGAAATACATATTGATAACAGTAAGTGCCCACCTTAACTTTATAAGATTTTTAGTTGAGATAAAAAAGTCATTGGCACGAGCGGGATTCTAACCCACGATCTTCGGCTTGATACGCCGCTGCTCTACCACTTGAGCTCTCGTGACCTCGATCCACTCGGACACCAACTTCCCATCTCAGCCGAAGATCGTGGGTTCGAATCCTGCTCGTGCCATTGACTTTTTTATCAACTAAAAACCTTAATTAATTGTAATATATTAATTGGTCAAGCGGACCACGAAATTAGAGAATTTATAAAAAGATAAAAACTATCTGACTCTAAATATAGGAAATCGAGAGGGACAGTAAGTCTAAGGTAACCAGTCTCTGTGACAAAGGTAACCACTGTTCAGAATGATTGATTGTCGATTGATGAAGGTTTCATGAGTTATGTTATACTGCACCCTTAAAAGCTATTGTGCTAAACTGGTAAATAATTTGTCGTGGTTTTTCTTCCAAGGTTGTATTGTAGATTTTGTTGTATGTTTGATTTTCTCTTCGACACACTATGTCCAGTGAGAGATTCCCATTGTTTCTTCACTCCCATCTCTTTATACTACATAATAATAAAATATAAATTCCTATTCCGCAAAGGGGTGGGTCATACGAAGGGCGGCACCCTGTCTGTTAAGGGCATCCGCTTCTTCGTTATCTTAACACCTGTTCTGGGACGACCTATTTAATTTGAGGTGCTTGATTTCGAGGCGACCAAATACTCCCGTCCCAGCCTATTTTGCATCCTGGATCCGTCAATATATCAGCAAATTGTAAATTCCTTTTCGAGAGGGATGTTAACCCCTCTGGAAGTCCTTAGCTTTAAATCACATTAGTCTTTTTCGGATGGCATAGAAATGTCGTAGACCACTTGACCTTTTATGCACTGTCGTAGCTGACATTCCATCAGGGAAAATGAAAATATGCAAATCCATTGGTTTCCAAATATGTCCCTTGCGTATCAGAGGATAAATATAATTCCGCTGAATTGTTTGATATAACGTTGCAAGTCTGGTTAACCAAGATTAAAGTCGCACAAACATTGTACCAGGTTTTTATCTGCCCTTGTCTAGTCGGATTCCGTTTATCAATTAATCCGGCCGATCAGCTGCTAATATTGGTGCATCGAAAGTTATTCAGTTTATCCTACTATCGGCGGTTCTCCTTATGGAATACAAACTTGCGATATAAATTACCAGTCGGAAGGAATGAGCACAATTACTGTAGATCGACAAGTTTTTAAGTACAATAAGTATTACATAAGTTCAGTTTAAAAAATTTTATATATTTTCATCAGATAGTCATCGTCATTGTGTCTTCAGTACTGTTGTTTCAGGTTCATAAATACAAATTAATTAGAGAGGCATTTCCTGATGTAATACCTCTCTTAATTAAGGATAACCTGCTTAATAGTATCTACATCAAAGCTAATTATTCCTAATTATATAAGTATAAGTCTACTAACGTCAAAATTTATTATTAGAATAGACCCAAAATTTGTAAAATTTAAATATTACATATCTTTTTGTATACTATATTACAGACCTCATCTGGAGGAAATAACATCTCTTTTTAAAAAGTTGTTGTTATGCAATGAACGCGCTAAGTGGTTTCAGCAAGGTTCCTTCTTTCTCATTAAGCCAACTGTTTACTTGTTAGAATCTGTACGAATGAACTTTTCAATCGAACTAAAACTTTTCATATTTTATCCTCAAACCGACCGAAAATTTTAATACGCCTTTTTTCCCCTAATGGTGATGTTTGTTTAGTACTCGTAATTTAGATTTTGGACAAATTTCTGTCAAATTTTTATAGTAAAAACTCGTTTTGATTACATTTGGTTGGAAGAGAAAACTCACGTTGAATACCAACCAAAATGACAAATACTTTGTTTCCGTGTTGTTTGTATGCGAAAAAATAAATTTTTAATAAATCGACAGTGTATTACGGTTATGCATAGAGAACCATTTAATTTACTTTATTGATTTCTGATCTCGTTTAATTTGGATTAAATTAAAATAATTAAAATGAATTGATAAAAGTTTGTTTATATAAAAAGAGATGAGACTTGACATAAAATAAACAACAAAATACGAATGTCAGGTTTTTGTCTTTGTGGATATGCAAACTTTTTAATGAAGTTTTGTTATTATAACAAGATTTGTATGATGACTTGTATGAAAACTTACAAACCTCCGAAATCAGAATCATGTGTATAAATATTGTGTATAAAATAATAAAGTATGCTGAGTATAAAATGCAGTACAATATATTTTTGTCAAATAAAAGCATGTACTACAAAACCTGTTCAAAACAAGGCTGAAATACACAAGTGTAAGAAAATTAAAATAAGTTTGTTTACGTAAAACGAGATTAGACTTGGAATATAAAAAAATATATAAAAAACAATCAAATCAATACAAGTGTCCTGTTTTTGCCTTTGTGTGTATACAAACTTTTTAATGAAGTTTTGTTATTATAACAAGATTTGCTTGATATATTTGTAAGACAACTCACAAACTTCCGAAATGTGTGTGTAAATGTAGTGTAAAGTATGCTGAGCATAAAATGCAGTACAATGTATTTTGTTCAAGTATAAGCATGTTCTACCAAACTGTCGTTCAAAACAAAGCTGAAATTCATAAGAGTATGAAAATTGGCATAAAATAAACATGAAAATCAATACAAGTGTGCGGTTTTTTGTTTTACAGTGTAATAATGTGTATGTAACGGAACATAACTTTTTATCCCTGAAAAACAGGAGTTTTGTTCGGCCTAAGTACTTTCAATGATTACGAAATGTTTAAAAAGTGCATAAATAATCAAATATATTATATACTCATAATATAAATAATAATATAATATTGATGTATAAACTGTGGAGCGAAATATTAATTATTCATAAATACTTTTTGTGCTATATGTAAACTAAAAATTCCAAACGTGACAAAAATTTTTTGTGATTCTGTTTTGTAGTACATTTTCAGTTGTGATTCAGTTGAAAGCGTCGGTTGTGAACAGTCAGATCTATAATGTACCTATAAATATCCAAGTCGATGCTGGTGGGTGCTTCAACAGACTTCGGTTCCTTAACGCCCTGCAAATAGAAAACATAAATAAAAATTTTCAATACATAAGTTAGATTTATAATGCGTCGTTTAACCTTTTAATGGCACAATGAGTTACACATATAAGAGATAAAGCCTTATGGTAATCTCGAGGTCATAATCGCGGTTCAATGCCGTTTCAGTTCCTTAATTATGATGTGTGTGAGCCGGTTTTTCCAAACATAGTCTTCAATTAACAGAAGCTAGTATAAAATTTTAGTGCGGCTTTATTGCCCAATGATCATCTCTATCATCGGTAATGAACTGTGAAGAATTTTTTCACGTTTGACCACCAGATTCTCGAAAAACCATTGTTCAAGCGTAAAACGGAGTGAAAAAATATTAATGGAAAAATTAAATTTATAAGTTATAACATAATATGCTAACTTTATAAAAAAATATCTCGAAAATACGACTACTACTGTCTATTAATATTTAATATTTACTAAATCATTATATTTAGTTGCCTATTGACCAAATTACTTCTTTCATTTAATTAATCTTTTTATGTAAGGTTTTGGTCGAAATGAAAAAGCTAGTGCCACGAGCGGGATTCGAACCCACGACCTTCGGCAAAATACGCCGCTGCTCTCCTACTTGAGCTATCCTGATTTTGATCCCTCGGACACCACTAATTGCTCTACGTGGCCAATTCATAGTCGCCGAGGATCGAATCCAGATTAAACATTTGAAAAATGGCAAAAAAAAGGGAAAATTCCAAAGGTTGAAGGTTGAGATGGGGAGTTGGTGTCCGAGTGGATCGAAGTCACGATAGCTCAAGTGGTAGAGCAGCGGCGAATTTGTCGTGGGTTCGAATCCCGCTCGTGGCACTAGCTTTTTCATTTTGACCAAAACCTTACATAAAAAGTTTAATATTTACGTTAAATACTAAAATCTCCCAATTATTATTTTTACCTTTACATTATTATTTTTACATTATTTTTTACCTTGCTTACCTTTACATCTATCGAGGTGCCGATCGGAGGAAGAAAATACTCGGCGTCGTTCACCAAATTATTTTTCACTATGTCTACAAATTCTGAAAACAAAACATAGCCATTACATAGTGACGTTTACATACACAAAAACCATTGGAAAAAATTTGAAAATTTAATTTTAATGCAATGAATGATTAGTATGACCATTTACTGAATAAAAACAAAGTCGAACATTTTTATGTCTGATTCCCATGTTTCGATAATATGAATAAGCTTAAAATACTATAAAATCATGTGAAATAAAAAACTTACTCTTCGAATTGATGGTTTAAAGTACAGTTTGTAAAGTTTCAAGCATTAGTCATTTCTCTGTTAAAAATACAGTTATAAATAAATAAATAATTTTATCACAATTGTGCACCTTCTACTTATTCGACAATGTTAGATCCAAACATAAATAAAATATAATATCTGTGGTCTTTCTTTTTATTTGTTTGGTTAATTCAAATGGAATTATTAGGTAAATTAAGAACACAAAAATGTGCTATTTTCTAGCTTTCAGATAAGGCGGATTTATAGATTCGACCATTACTTTTTATGTGATAAGCCAATACTTAATAGGATCAGACCTATTCTCAGTATTTAAATAGTACTTCTTTGCCTATTATGTAATAGTACCATTTTTGGTTGTGTTGATATTGGTTAGTGGTTAGTGGTCAGTGGTGACGTCTTCCGATTTTGACAATTTATAGTTTATATAATGCATATATAATATGCAACATACGACTGTATCCATTATATTTAGTGGTCTATTGACCCAATTACTTCTTTCAATTACTTAATCGTTTTAGCTAAGGTTTTGGTTGAATGAAAAAGTTAGTGTCACGCGCGGGATTCGAACCCGCGACCTTCGGGTAAATACACCGCTGCTCTGACCACTTGAGCTATCCTGACTTCGATCCACTCGGACACCAACTCCCCATCTCAACATACGACTGTATTTTATACAAACATTGTTGATTTCCCACTGTGGTCTCGGGATGATAAACCTATTGTCTGTTAGTTATCTGTTATCCTAGTCTGCCTATCCTCGCTGATTTTTGTTAATTCAGACGAGTTTCGTCATTACACTACCTTCAGTGTTTGGGTGTTATTTGTGAAGTGAAGATTTTAGTAATGAGATCGTAAACTTCAATTCACAAATATCACCCAAACACTGATTATAGCGAAATGAAGAAAGGCAGATCAGATTAGGTAACAATCAAACAATAGGTTCATCACCCCACAGTCCATAGTAGGATATCTCACAATGTGATTTGTTTGTTTCTCAAAAATGAATAGGGATATTTGTAATTTATTATTATTCTATTAATTTTAATTAAATTAACCGATATACTCTTGTTAGTAGGATAAAACAAAATAGAAAATACAATACCAAAAACAAACAAATGTTAATCCACTTTTTAATAACGGATTTACTTAAGAATAATAAACATGAAGATTACTTATTTTGTAAACAAACACTTTTTCTCGTCTTCTCTCCATTTTAATTATTCCTGTATGAATGTATTCTCTTTAACGATGGAAGGCATCACTTTTAACCAGAAGATCGCACTATAGTGAGAATGAGTCTTTGAGGTGATCGGCAAGTACATATCGCATAGACAGTTGGTTTTCTCAGAGCATGATCTCCCAGGCTTTAGCCCGATTATGAGAGCCTGTAAGTGCCAATAGTGCCTGGTAGTGGATCTCAGCGCATTACGACGCTAAGGGAGGACAGAAATACTGTCATTGCTGCAAGACGGAACCCTTTCCAAAGTGCCCGCCAGGTTCTAAATGATGTACAAAATGTTTTGGCAAGGCCTTTATCAACCAATTGGAATGCTGTTATGTTTACAGTCGAGTGTCAGTTCGTTTCTGTCTGTATAGTGATAGCAGGTGCCGAAAAGTCTACCGAGAACATGGGATGCGTACCATGCCCCCTTCAGAGCAGTTTGGAGGAGGCGGTGTCAGTCTCAGCTGGGATTTACACTGGAGAACGAACCGGACTCCATATTGTTGAAAGCAACCTCACCGCAGTGCGTCATGTCTAAGACATTATGCATCCATCAAACCAGGGATCTCATTGGCAGGGATTTTCGATTTCTGAATGACAATGGCAGACCTCATAGAGGCAGAGTTGTTCATCAATCAAAACCTGGGAATTTTCCATCTGCCCCTTCCACCATTGTCTCCAGACCTCAACCCCATTGAGCTCCTGTGGGAAGCGTTGCAGTGAAGGCTTTTCGATCACCTTCAACAGCCAGTTGACCTGTAACAACTAAGTGCAAATCTATGCAGTGAAATTCCTTCTAAAATTAGTGACTACCGTATTAACACACAGAGTTTTTAACTAACAGAGGACATTACACACGGTATTAGTTGTTTACAAAAATTATAGAATTAAAACCTTTTATTTTGTTTTTCTAATAAATTTTAATGCAATTTGTAATAAAAATAAAATTAAAATGCTACGAAAAGTAAATACTACAAAATTGGCAATATCCCTATTCATTTTTGAGCAGTTTATAAAATATATAGCTGTATATTGCAAAAAAATAAATCAGACCTCTTGTTATCTGCTAGAACTAATAAGATTTTTTTATGTGGAGTTTCAATCTTCATGGAGGTCATTAGACAGGTGAAGAAAGAAGAAGACTAATTGTTGGGTTCACTAAGCTTTCGGCAACTTATAGTGCCATCATCAGTGCCTATTTATTAAAAATTAAAAAATATAAAGATAATAAATAATATTCAATTAACATTTAACAATTGAAAGTACATTATTTTCTTTTGTTAATTGTTAATTAGTCTTCTTCTTTCTTCGCCTGTCTAATGACCTCCATGAAGATTGAAACTCCACATAGATTATCTGCAGGTCGATCAACAAACATCAAAAGATTTTTTTTTCAAATTTAATTTTATATTTAATGTGCATGCCTTTCTAAGAGAGATGTTTTTAAGGTTTCAATTTTTCGTAAACAGTGGTAAATATTTAAGTAAAGTAACAAAGCCGCTCCTGGCTTATTAAGAAATTACGCTGACAGACTACGTTAATAACCGGGGTGAAACTCAACTGAATTACTCCGTTCTAACGACTTACCGCCTGTAGATGCAAATTAATTAAACCCCAGAGGAAGCCTGGCGAAAAGATTCGTGAATCAAGATCATTAACGGCTCAACCCTCGCCTAATATATAAAGCAACATTTCTTTCCCTTTTTATATTGATTTATGATGTTGTAACAGAGTTTTTTATCGTGTTAAGAGTGTTTATAATATATTTCATTGCGTCGTGAGATAAGGCACGTTGTAATTATCACAGAATATAAGGAGAAATTAATAAACATTGATAGTATCCGACATTTCACGTTATATTAGCAATTCATTATTCTAATATAAAAACAAGTTTACAGAAAACGTAAACTTTTTTTATTTATATCTCGACGAGTCAATGAGCGTTTTCAACAGACTTGGCGTTGGGTTGACCATTATTGTGGTAAGGTTTCCAAAAGAACAACCAAAAAAGCAAAAGTGCAAATTAAATTAAGTACTACATAAAAATCTCATTTCGGAACTCAAATCTGGTATAGGCAAGTATCAAACTTAGAAAGCGGCTTGTAAAAATGTGCAGAAAAGTATGGTGAATGATCTGAGTGAAATGTATTTCATTAGATCGTAAATTTTCTCATTTATTTCTAGTACAAAAAAAGCGGACATTTAAGGTGTAATAACCCATTATTTCTGAGGGGTGGGTAAATGGCCGCAACGGTTTAGGCGTTGACACGGTACTCATCACTGTAAGGTAAAGGTCCCGGGTTCGAATCCAGCGACCTTGCATTCGAACCCGGCGTTCTTACAAACGGGCTTTGTTTCAAAAATACCGGCCCCGCGAGGTTTCATGTAATATTGTAGTTGAAATACCCTTGCAAAATAAAATAAATAAATAAAATAATAAAATTCTGTAGAATTGTACCTGTTCCCATAGTTTACACATTGGGGATTCCAGTTAAACAAGACTTTAATAAACTTTTCATTCAATTTTTGGTTTTTATGTTAAAATGCTTCTTTAGGCGATAACACGGCGCTCATCACTGTAAAGTAAAGGTCCCGGGTTCGAATCCAGCGGCCCTCCATTCGACATGGGCTTTTTGTTGTTGCGAAGCCTCGGGAGGAAAAAAAACAATTTCGTGCAACTATAGAAAATCAAATCTCATAAGAAGTAAGGTAATTCCTAAACTACACTGCCTATGAAAAAAACCGATCACCTTGTTTTTGCACGAAAAAATGGCCAAATGTGGAGACGCAGATGTTCTTCCTCTTTAAGTTTCATTTTTAGACAATTTTACGCTGAAGAAGATGGCTTTTTTAAACGTTTTCCTAGGTTCAGTCATCCATCAGTACATTCAAAAATTCGGGAACATGTTAATTTTTTTACACTTTTTACGAAAATTAATTAGGGTTTTAAGTTGAGATAAAAAAGTCAGTGTCACGAACGGGATTCGAACCCACGACCTTCGGCTAAATACGCCGCTGCTCTAACCACTTGTGATATCGTGACTTCGATCCAGTCGGGCACCAACTCCCCATCTCAACCCCACCTTTTTCAAATGTCGTATAATCGGATTGGATTCTCGGCGGCAAATGAAATGTCCACGGAGAGCTTTAGTGAAGTATACTTCAATTTAATTCATTAAATTCACTATTTTTCGTGGTCCGCTTGACCAATTAATAACATTCAATTAATTAAGGTTTTAGAAATTTTTTTGGGGTTGAGATGGGAAGTTAGTGCCCGAGGGGATCGAATCACGATAGCTCAAGTGGTAGAGTAGCGGCGTATCAAGCCGAAGGTCGTGGGTTCGAATCCCGCTCGTGACACTGACTTTTTTATCTCCACTTAAAACCTAATTAATTGGTCAAGCGGACCACGAAAAATAGTGAATTTTTACGAAAAGTTCAAGTGGAACTGTGGAACCAAGAAATCGACCTTGGAGCTTTCAATTGGTCACTTCCACTTTGCCCGATTTCTCAACCGTTTTCGAGTTTTTTGGTTGAGATGGTTTTTTACGTGCCCATGGAAAAAAAACCCGATCACTCTCACGATTTTCAAGAATGCATAAATTTTGAACCGTCATGTTTTCGCAAATTTTACGCTCTACAACTTCTGTTCCGAGGACTTATTCAAAAATGTGAGCAGGGAAGCGTCAATTTTTACTTTGACCTTTTGGAATGCGGAATGATTCTCCTTTCGATAAACACTTGTTTACCTCATCATGGAAATTCAACGTTTCCTTCCTATCTCGCATGTGTTCTGGCAGTTTGGCTTCGAACGTATGGAAAAAATAGTTTATGTATCGTAAAATCGGGAGAAAGAGAGATTGATCGGTTTTTTAACAGACAAAAATCTTAAAATTGTAAATCATATACATCTTGATGATTAATATCGTATTGTTCTAAGGAGAAAACCGGCAAACCCACCAAGACGTCTGGATCAGTAGAGAAATTTTACAAGACGTCAGGCCGTCATTTAAAATGTCAAGGGAATTGCTTCCATCAAAAGATCCACAATCGTTCCCGAATTAAAATACGAACAAATGAAATATTAACGCCTACAAAAAAAAATTTAAATATTGTAATAGAACAGAATTATCTTCTAAGCGTTAGGTCACAATTTTAACCGTCAATTCAGCTCAAAACATTAAGCTTATTGAATGAATGAATAATTAATTTATGTAAACAATACCAAAGACATACACAAGTCAAAACAGTATGTCTCGCGTCACTTAACCACAAGTTAAAATTAAATAAGATAGCATAATCATATATATTTAGGTCATTTGTATTATCTCCATTAGGTATTAGTGGTGTCCGAGTGGATCGACGTCAGGATAGGTCAAGTAGGAAAGCAGCGGCGTATTTAGCCTAAGGTCGTGGGTTCGAATCCCGCTCGTGGCACTAGCTTTTTTCATTTCGACCAAAACCTTACATAATTAAATGAAAGAAGTAATTTGGTCAATAGGCAACTAAATATAATGATTTAGTAAATATTAAATATTAATTATTCAGAAATCGTGAGATGCGGTCTGGTGTGACGTAGGTTTCAGAAAAACATTTTCTTTATCGTGCCAACGTTTCGATCTTTATTGAGATCATCTTCAGGGCCTGGGATTTACAAACATTATTTAAATTTAACAAAAACATGTAGGATGTGGAAAAAATTGAATTTATTCAATGCAAAAAAATATTTTTTTTTATATTCAATCAAAGTATTTCTACTCACTCAAAGTGTTTTTCTTTGTAATTGGTCCAATTCTTGCTTGTTGTGTTGAGAGTGCCAGTGAGATCCCAGGCCCCAATAAGAATGGCACAATTACGCAGAAAACAAACACTTTGAGTGAGTAGAAATACTTTGATTGAATATAAAAAAATATTTTTTTGCGTTGTATAAATTCACTTTTTTCCACATCCTACATGTTTTTGTTAAATTTAAACAATGTTTGTAAATCTCAGCCCCTGAAGATGATCTCAATAAAGATCGAAACGTTGGCACGCCTACATCGCACCAGACCGCATCTCACGATTTCTGAATAATCATCGACTAACGGTCACTAATCACCACACATTTCTAATTTTTAATACTATATGAGCAATGTGAAATTGAATTTACAAGTTTATTAAATTTTAAATTTTCGACTAGACAATGAACTAGATATTTTTTGTTCTTTAAATTCAATTTCACATTGCTCACATAGTATTAAAAATTAGTTTTAAGAAATTAAAATTTATAAAAATGATGTAAAAACAAATGTAATATATGTAAAATAATATGAAAAATCATATTCCAGGAGCTGCCTTGAAAAAGAATGAAAAACCATTCGAAACGTTGGCAAATTTATGAACTGAGCAATACGCTGTTTTCTGTACTGCACATCCCACAACCCAACATCGACATTTGGATTGTTGTTATCTCCCACTTTTTCACCACAACAACAAAAAATGTAGAAAAGAGTCAAATGAAAACAACTTCACAATCTCATTTGGGTAGGGGAATTAATTAAAGTTGGGTAAAACGAAAATAAATCACCGGCTAGTTTAATGTATTAAATGGGGAATATGGCATCGTGGTGTTTACCTGTTTGAATGGCTATGTTATGAACAAGCGCCGGACAGGAACTGGTCAGCTGGTTCCATTCTTTGCTTCTTTCACGGTTCGTAGAAACATTTTCCAACGATCTGAATCAAGAGTAAAACCAGTTTTGAGAAACACAATGAAAGGTCACTATCGACATTAATATTTTGAACAAAACTACATTTTCACAAATCTCTTACTCCTGTACGTATCCTTAGCTCTTGTAGGTTCTATGGAATTCGACTCAATCAGTTATCACAGTTAAGAAGGTAGTACAGTATGACGGTACTATCATAGCTGGATAGTTTTTTTTCATTACAACCAGTCAGTCTAATACTATAGTCACCATGAATTATTGCAGATAATTCCAATGTCAAGAGCAAATCTAAATGAACCGATAAAATAAATAACATTCCTAGGAAACGATAACATTCGACTGATTATTGCCATGATGAGGCAACTATTTCTTAAACCGTGTTTTCATGACAGTAACATGAAATGTGTATATTCAAAAATAAAGGCATAGTAAATATACGCTCAGGAGTTCGATATGAACGTTTTTGATAATCAAAGATATCAGTGAGTTATTTTTAAAGCTGATAAGTTTGATCTGTAAGTGATGCATCCGAAAATGCATCCCAGAAACAGTTTGGTTGGGTAATGACTTTTTTTATTGTACCTACTTCGGCTGTGAATCCTGGAGAGTTTGCGTCGTCCTGTGTACCTTGTCCGAAGACCTGACCGTTGAAGGAGCCTCTAGAAACGTGAACTTCTGTAAAAAGAAATGTTAGTAGAATTTTTTGTTTTAATTTTTTACTCCTCAATTTCAAATAAGACAAAAGCTCTAGTAAACGTCATAAATTGTACGAATCTTACCAAAGAGGCGAGTACCGCTTGGCTGTGGGTAATCTGCGATTTCAGCGCCTCCAGTTCCTTTTGAACTATGGTGTACTCTTTAACCTGCCTTTCACCCAGACCCTGCGAACATCCGACGAGTCAAAAGACAATTATAAAAAAGATTAAAGTATTTTCCCTCAAAAATGTTCGAAGAAATATCAGAAAAAAATAACAAAAACTAGGTAACTAAATGAACTAGATAAACGACAAGATCAGCCAAAGCGATAATTCCGTTTTAAATAAAGACTGCTTGTTTCATCATGTTTTATAATACGAGAAATATTTTTTTTTTTTTAATCAATGTGTTTTTAAATTAAATTTGGAACGATTCAAAAAAGTTTTTAAGCTGAAGAGCGAAAGCCGAAGGACAAGCGACACGGCAACAAGAGCATTGTCAATCATTATCCATCACGGGAGACAGAGAGATCTGCGATAAGCTGTTACTCGTGGCGACCTAAAGCACTTGTGGAAAGCAAAAATGTGCCAAATTTCAATTTTTAGACGTGTGAAGATTCGCATACACTACTTTCCATCTACTGTCAACATTATTTTGAGTCAAAGACGTGTAACGAAGGACAGATTAAAAAATGCAATTTAATGCGCAAATTGATCATTTATATCAAAATTACTGAATTGTACATTTACCTGAGTTTTGGCGTCCAAAACTGGAGCACTTTCCTTCCTGGTCTGATAGAATTTTCCGCCGGCATAGCTGATAACCGTATCGCCCCCGTTTTGAGAAGGCGTTCTGAAAAAAATGTATTTCTCTTAGATGACCTGAACCCGATTGCGAATGCAATAAAACTAGATTACACAATAAAAATGCTTAAATAAATTGACGGAATTGACGGGTGTAATGTTGGTACTTCATCTTTAATTGGCAGACGGTGGATCCTTCGACCAAAATGGTCAGTTGATTCGCCACATTTAGTTATCTCACCTCCATTCAAAGATTGTGTATACTGATAGACGCATATCGTAACTACACCCTGTAACAACATGGGACCGTGGTGGAAGGCATCGGAAATGCCACCATTAAGTTTTTTGGCATACGCGAGGTTATAAGTCGCTAGAATTTGTTCTAAATGTATATAAAATAATTGCTAACTTATTCATCGTTATAATAATAACAGAAGGTCATTATTATGCAACAGAAATTTTAATGCTGTTATTAATAACGAAATATAAGATAATATATTACATACGGTAGATTTAAATAAATTAATAATATCTGCCTAATACAACTAAAATTGAAATAGTCACCTATGTTATTTACAACTTGTGATTTAAATCCAATGAAATTTAATCATTTAAAATTTACTGATTTTGGTGAAGTCCGTTGTCATCCGGTCGTGTTTTAAACTTTACTTGTGATTTTTGAATTTGACTATATTCTTAAATAAATTATTTATTTATTAATGAAGGAGGAAGCCATACTACATGAAGTCTAACAAAGGGCCGACCAGGCTGGTAGGTCTCGGATTTGGACCAAACTTTTTTTTGGTGATTCTACACTCCAAAATATCGAATCCACTACTTTTATGGAAAGGCTCTGGTTACACCAATTTTTTTTTTTTAAGTTGAATTATTTCGATTTTTAATATATTTATTTCGCCGTTCTACTTCCTCAAATAAACTATGTGAATATATCATTTTACAGCATTTTTTTTTAAATGCAGATTGCAACAAAAATATAGAAAAAGCTATCAAAGTTTATCAACAACCAAAAAATTTCTAAAAACAAAATATTTTTCAAGTAAACTAGGTCATAACGTTTTCTTTTCGTGTAACTAATATGAAATTTCGTTTTAGCACTTCTAGAGACCCCTAAATATAAATTTTTGTTTGAATTTAAATATATCGATTTTTTGACTCCTAAAATCTTTTCGATTTTGAGAAGTCGTTATCGTAATATCAGATTGAAACAGCTAAAATTCAAAAACGGCTAAAGGATTTTAACGCCAAACTGACTATTTAAAAGAAGAGGAATATAGCTTTTTAACGACATATTAAAGTGTACAAAATATATCTATAAAAAAATACACAAAATAGCAAAATTATTTATCAGAAATTAACCTCGTTTTTTAAATGGAAATAATAGTCAGATTTTAATGTTTGATACAGTTATAAAATGCACTTGACAATTTCTTTTAAAACGAATTATCGACCATGAAAATCGGTCTCCCTAGTTTTGAGAAAAATGATGTTAAAACTTGCACTAGGAATATCAGACACGCCAGAGAGGATTTTCGAAATTATCAAACAAAAAATTAACTTACACAGATTTCTGCGTAAGGAGGTATCTAAGGGGTTTACAACGCTAGAATCACGAATGAGGTCAAATCCAAGTTTTGACCATTTTTTGACCTATTTTGCTTGCAGAATGTTTGTTAAAATATGCAGAAAATCAGTATTTTGTGGTTTATTCCGATAATTTAATATTCACGAAAATGGGTATAAATTAATTTTTGACAATGAGATCCAATCCAAGTTTTCCCCTAAATATTTAGGATCTCTAGAGGTGCTGAAGTGAAATCTTCCATTTTCAAATGTCGTGTAATCAGGATTCGATTCTCAGCGACTTATGAAAATGGCAAAAAGGAGAGAAAATTCGAAGTAGGTTGAGAAGGAGAGTTGGTGTCCGAGAGGATCGAAGTCACGATAGCTCAAATTGGGGATGGTTAACTCTAACCATCCCTAACCAGCTCAAGTGGTAGAGCAGCGGCGTATTTAGCCGAAGGTTGTAGGTTCGAACCCCGCTCGTGACACTGCCTTTTTTATCTCATCCAAGACCTTACAGGAAAAGAATAATTAATTGAACAAAGTAACTTAGTCAATCAGACCACTAAAACATAAATGAATTACTTAAAAAAAAGCAGGGCTTTTTGAAGGATTGAACATTAGCCCTATAAATCTATGACAACTCATTTTTAGCCAGCGAAGCTTTTCTTACAATACTATTGTACTTAAATTCTCAGATATTTCATAAATTCTGATGATCAGCCTAATTTACTCAAATGATTTTATTGAATACGTTAAACCGACGCCAATCTTTGTCCATACATAACTGAGCGTTAGTCTTAGTTGAAATTAAGAAAACAAAAAGAAAAGTGAGTAAAATCAATTAGATTCGGTATAAAAAAAAATGTACATGCTTAAAACTTAGACGGATAATTAATCTCTTGAGTATTTTATCGGTCTGATCGATCCATTCGCTAAATATTAACTCAATGCCACCTGTAAGACATCAAGAAAAAGTCCTAGTCTGAATAGCGATAACGGCACCATTTCGCCGAGGTAAGAAACCGGCATAGACCCTGGACCTTCCGTCAACCGGCTAATAATTTATTTTATTCATAAAATCCGACCCCCTTGGGTCCGTCTTACTATTTTATAACGTCATCTCACCTCGGCCAAGGCTAAAAATATCTCGAGGACAGTCTCTTAACACGGGCTGGAAATTATTTAGAGACGTCTTTTCCGTTACCGCACCCGAAAGCGCGTGAAGTGGCCGTTTTTTCACGAAAATAGAAATAGCTGGCAGACAAAAATGGCCAAAAACTTCATCGCACATTTTTTCACAAAGAAAATTGCATTTTACAAATATACCACTAAGTGTGGTCTATTGATATATATATTTAGTGGTCTATTGATCAGATTACTTCTTTCTATAATTAATCTTTTTATGTAAGGTTTTGGTTGAAATGAAAAAGTTAGTGTCACGAGCGGGATTCGAACCCACGACCTTCGGCTAAATACGCCGCTACTCTACCAATTGAGCTATCGTGATATCGATCCACTCGGACACCAACTCTCCATCTCAACCTACAACCGTTCGAATTTTCCCTCTTTTTCGCCATTTTCGAATGTCGTGTAATCAGGATTCGATTCTCAGCGACTTATGAAAATGGCAAAAAGGAGGGAAAATTCGTTGAGATGGAGAGTTGGTGTCCGAGAGGATCGAAGTCAAGATAGCTCAAGTGGTAGAGCAGCGGCGTATTTAGCCGAACGTCTGGGTTCGAATCCCGCTCGATCCGAATAAAAAATACCAATTTTTAAATCCGTGTAACACTGTTTATTTTATTTACCTGGCGGTACAACCAGAAAGGCAATTGCCCATGCCAGTAAGCTGTTGCTCACCATGGCTCCGGTGGATCCGGCCTTCTGATTCTCTTCTCCATCACAGAGTCTAGAACAGAAAAACAATGGAAGGATCAAATCAACAAAATCAAAGTATACAGCGATATTTTTTTTTTTTTTTTTTTTTTGTGCTTGTACATAACATCAATTTTGCTTAATGACTTGTCTTTTAAGCTCACGGTGTTAAGGCAAAGTGGCAAGAGGGCCATTGTTCCAAATGCCAGCTCGCCCCAACCCGGTTTCAACTTAATATGATAGTTCCCACCCCGTGGGCCTAAACGGAAGTACTGTCATGCTTCATAACGAACTCACTAATCATAAATTAGTCGGTGTTATTAATTTATCACTAAAATCTTAAAATTCACACACCGTAGTATTCAGTTTCACTTGTTTAACAACTTTCAGGGATGAAAAAATCTTTACAACCTTACTTTTCCATTTTTTCTTATGGCTTACATTTTACAAGTAAATTTTACTGCAGTGAGTAGAATTATCTCACATACTGAATTTAAAATATGTTCGTTTTTGTTTTCATTGAATTATTTACTTTAAGCAATATTATGATTACTAAATTTTACTATTTTTTCAAGTTTGCCAACTAATGATCTTCAATGAATGTTTACAATATTACTAGTAGTCAGATGACACCTTAAACTATCATACATGGTTGCACATGAGTCGATAGACACGAAAATCTAAACACAACACAATATTCCGTTATTATCACGTCTGGATAAGGTTATCAAACAGGAATGATAGCAATTCAATACCTGGAGGTACACAAAACATGTGCTTATCATGGATAATCAATATAGATGCGTACTTGTAATAGCATACTTCGCGATATTTTAACTTCCTTTAATACCCAAAAATTTCAGTGTCAAATAATATTATGAAGAAGAACAATAAAACGTAGAATAGCAGTAGTCAAACGAAGATCAGAGTTGCTTCATTGAATTTTCATTCAGCAAAGTTAAACCAGAAACGACAAGGGTTTCCTTCATTGAATAATTCCAGCTGCTTAAAAAAAGCCAAGTTTAAACATTTACCCTCGTTCTGACTACGCTATTAAGAAATAAACGAAATAAATATTTTTTTATATTTCAAGTTAGTAAAAAAGATAGACCTTTTTTACTAGGTGCCTTTTTAGGCAACTGTGTCAATAAATAAACAAAATATTGTAAAATCTACATACTTGAAGACGCTCTTTGGTGTCAAACATTCCAGCCGGCGATTTTATAAAACCTTTCGTAAATAATTATGTTTTATGTTTGACGCTTTCTTCACAACTGAATAACTAAAGAAAAAATTTATGCATCTCTTTATCGTAGTGTAATTTTAAAACAAAGGGCATATTTTATCAGGCCCATTGTTTCGGTACGTGTTATATTTGTACGGTACTACATATGAAAGTGCATTATCGTTGTTTATGGAATCTTCTTGAGATCTTTTTTGGATTTCACCAACGGCAATTTTATCGCCACCTTCTGTGGACTTTACTTTAAGCAAGGTAATTTGTTGTACTCCAATGTAACATGTGTAAACAGTGATATATTTCATCTGTGGGTGAAGCCCTGATGATGGCGATAAAATTGCCGAAAGCTTGGTGAAACCCAAAAATCGAGTTTTATTCATAAGTGAAAGACCTCAAGAAGATTCCATAAACGAATTAACTAGTGCAGGTCGATCAACTTTAACTTTATTTAAGTGCATTATGTTTTGAAAAGCAGACCAATAAAAATGTATTCGTTGGTACATATGTATATTGGTAAAATACCAATATTTCCTCACCAAACAGGGCTTGTTCATATTAGAGATGTCACCCTAAAATTTTACAAATGACATTTTTTGAATTACAGCGTTGATTTTGG